GCAAGTTCATGAACTCAGGAAAGACTTGTGGGTGATGACAAGATCAAAGGTCTGGACCTATCTTTTATGTGTAAGTAAGGTGGGGTGGAGGAATAGGTCAAGGGAAATGATTAAGTTGGGGAACTGGGAGGTTAAGGTGTTTGAGGCAGTATCAGTATTTATGTTGAAATCCTCCAGTATAAGGAACAGGGGGTGGGAAGAAGAAAAAGACTGTGTGCCAGAGACTGAACTCCTCAAGGAAAAAGGATCAAGTCCTGAAGGTCATTAGGTAACAGCTACCAGAATCTTGATTAGATAATAGGAGAATCAAAGAGTTCAAAAGAACAGATGATAGCTGATGACTCAAGAATCCAAAAAGAAAGTTTGTTCAGGAGAGATGGAAAGCCCTCAAGAAAAATATTCTGGCAACATAATCACGATAGACTCAGATGATGAAAAAAGGGGGAGTGGGGTAGGGAAAGGGGTCTAAAAAGAACAGTGTGGCTACACAGAGACATTACGTGTGTACTGACAAACTTGGATTTTGAAAGGGCATATGTACAAATATCCTAAGATTATCCATTGCAAGATCCTAACAAGAATAGTATTTGAAAGGCCAAAGCCCAAGAGAACCTAAGAGTGACAAATGGTAAAGACAAAAACAGGGGAAGGGGAAGATAAAGGGATGGAATTCCTATATGGTAAAGATGGGCAGATAACTCACATTTGCCTAGCACTTTTAAGGTTTTCAAAGCGCTTTACAAACAAAATTTCATTTGATGGCATGATGATGATGCTGGACAACAGAAAGAAGATCAAACTACTCAATTTTATCTTGCTTCTATTTTTTCTTTCAAGGAGAATTGACCTTCAAGCCAGATAGCATTTTCTTAAAATGGTTAACAAGGAATTAAAATCCAAGACCAACAGATGGTAAGAGAGCTTTTGGATACTTTCAATTAACTCAAGTCACTTGCTTCATCCCTAGGTCCTGAAAAGAAATTGCAGATTGTGACTGATTGCTGAAGTGTTGTTGGTGACCTCTGAAGACTCGACAAATAAGAACCTTGCCACAAGACTGAACACATGCAAACACCATCCTGATTTTCAAAAAGAGGAAGTAGATGCAGATAACAGGCCAGAGATCATGATGTAAATTCCTGGTAAAATTCTAAAATAAATGGTCTCTGAACATTTGGGAAAGAAAGAAGCAATCACTATAAGCTAACAGAGGTTCATTAAGAACAAGTCATTCCAAATTAACCATCATTTACTTTTTTCTCTTAAGTTGCTAGACTATTAAACTTGGAGAATAGTGTGAATACAATAGACCTGGATTTTCCTCTGGAATCCTTATTCTATAGTGAACAAATTTCCCTTCATCCTGGACCTCTTCATTTCACATTATTTTGATCTGATAAACCTCACTGAGACCTGACTCCATTCTGATGCTGCTGTATTCCTGACTATCCTCTTCAGTACTAACTTCTCTCATACACTCTCAACATATACTGGTTGGAAAGTGGGACTTAACTACTCCTTACTCCCCACTATCACTTACAGACTCTCCCTTTAACTCCATCACTCAGCAACTGTACTCCATTAAATCCCATCAATCAAGTGTAAAAATTATGGTGGCAGTAGTATACTAACTCTATCCCCACCCCAAGTCATTCTCCCTCCTTCCTCAAGGAGTTTAGTACCTATTCCTCACCATCTTCCTTTCCTCACAAATTTCTGCCCTTATACAAAAAAACTTTAATATTCACATAGATGCTCCCTCTACCTCTTTAAATCCCATGACCTATTCCTTCACCCTGCCTCAGCCACACATAGGAATGATAACACACTAAATCTCACCATCACCCACACTAATTCTACTTCCTTAGTTAGAAACTCTGACATTCCCCTCCCTGATCATAATCTCCTCCCATTCCACATCCCTCCTCCTATGGCTCCTAAACCTATTCTTCACCCTCATCAAGACTTCCAATCCCTCCACCCCTCAGCCCTTTTTTGTTCTTTTTCTCTACACATCTTGATAGTTTCATCAATTCCCATAAACTATTATCTTTATGCAGATGACTCCTAGCTCTACATATCCAGTCCCAGTCAATCTCGCTGAGCTTTTAGTCCAACATTACCAATTGCCTATTAGACAGTTCACAGTGGACAACCTAAAGGCATCTCAAATTAAAAATTTCCAACACTGAACTCATCTTTCCCCCAAACCCTCCACTCTTCTAAAATTCCCCATTTCTATTGAAGGCACCAACATCTTTCTAGTCACAGGCTCATAATCTTGGCATTATCCTAGACTTCTCACTAAACTTCTCACTCTCCCTCTCTACACATATCCAAAAAGTTGCCGAATCTTGCTGTTTCTACCTTCACAATATTTCTTGCAATCAACCCTCTTCTCTCTACCTCTACAGCTACCACCTCAGTTAAGGCCTTCATCAACTCTTTCCTAGATTATTTCAAAAGCCTCCTAATTGGCTGACCTCAAGTCTTCTTCACTATAGGTCATCCTATATATAACTACTAAAGTGACTTTTCCTTTAGTGCAGATATGACCATTATCAATCCTTTTAATCCTGTTAACTCCAATAACTCTATTGCCAGTAGGATAAAATATAAACCCTTCTACTTGGGATTTAAAGTCCTTTATAACCTGGCCCCAAACTATCTTTCCAGCCTCCCTGGGCAATGTCCCCTCCCCACTGTGATCCAACCAAACTGGCCTTGTCTTTGTTCCTCACAAACAAAACTCCATCTCTCATCACCATACTTTTGTATTGGCCATCCCTCAAGCCTGGAAATGTATTCTCTCTAACCCTCTGCCTCAGAGTTCCTCTTTTCCTTTAAGATGCAGCTCAATGACCACCTTCTATACGAGGCTTCTCTTGATCCTTGTAATCACTAGTGTCCTCCCTCTAAGATTATTTTACATTTATCTATTTTGTTATTATTTATTTTTATGTTGCAAATACATATACCATCTCCCCCATTAAATATAAGCTGTTTCATTCTTTGTACTTGTAATCCCTAGCACCTAGTAGGGTTCCTATCACAGAATAAGTGCTTAATAAATGATGGCTGATTAATTTACTTCAGCAAGTTATTTAACAAAGCCTCTCATATTATCCTTATGGACCAGAAGGAGCAACGTGGATTGAATAATACTGTTAGGTGAGTTTACAAAGGGTTGATTGAATGCCAAGAACTAGAAGAACAATCTAGGTGACTACAATATAAGGAAAGTAACAGTTAAAGTCATCAGAACTCTGATCATTTTTGACTTTAGAGAATTGATACTTTCCCCTCTTCTTGGCAGACAGGTGATGGACTGAAAAGATGAAAACAGGTATATGTTGTTGCTGAATATAGTCAATGTGTTTATTTGTTTTAACTTTGTTACAGAAATTTCACTTCTTTGGGGAAAAAGGAGAAAACCTGGGAAACATCAATAAAGTGTGTTTGTTAAAAAAGAAAGTTGACTGGCTAGATTCAAAGAGTACAGTGTAGCATAGGAGAAAAAGCACTAGACTGGGGAATCAGAAGATTTGTGTCAAAGTGCCAACTCTGCCCTCTACTAGCTCCATAACCACCTGATCAATAAAATGACAGGGCTGGGCAAAATGTTCTCTGAGGTCCCTTTCAGCTCTGACATTCTATAATTCTATGATTCTGTGCCTGTGATACTGATGGATAGGTTACTGTCAGCCTGGAGGGAGTCTTTAGTGGAATAGCAGAAGGCTTTGGGATCCCCTGTCATTCATTTTTAAACTCACTTCAGAGCTTTAATCCATATTTATCAAATCTACGGAAGACATGAAGCTAGGAAGGTTAGTTAATACACTTGCTCGTAGAATCAGAGTTCCAAAAGATGACAGAGTAAACTAAAGGTAAAAAGATAGTAAGATTCATACTAAATTTCAAGACTTATACTCATGTTCAAAAAAAATACAAAAAAAAAAAGACACAAGCACAGAATGAAAGTAATGCAGAGAAAGAACATAGAGAAGGTGATGTGCGTCCCAGGACGGTGAAGGAACCAAAAACTATCATCCAAAGTACTGGCTGAAAAAACTGAAGACATTAAGCCTGAAGAACAGAAGACTCGGCAGAGACAAAATAGTTTATTTCAAATATCTGAAGTTTTGTCGCAGAGGGGGAGTGTCAGACTGGCTCTAGAAGAAAATCTTGAACAGTGGGCAGAAGGTATATAGGAGGAAAATATTGGTTAAAAAAATCATACGGGCCACCTCAGTTCCCTGCCACTCATGAGGTCTTAAGCGGAGGATGGATTTGTCTGGAACACTAGATGAGATTCACTCTTTGGTTAGGGGCTGGGCTGACCCGTGAGGTCCTTTTGAACTCCGCAAATCTACAATTTTTATCCACAATGCGAGCAGATCCAATAATATGAATGAAATGTGACTGTGTCTACTATGATGTTGGGAATCTCAAAAGTGGGGGCTGTGAACATAAATAAAGCAGACACAAGTATCAGGTAAACTTAGTTGACATAGAAGTCCTAAACTACTTGCTGCTTTTCCAAACATTTCATATCATGAGAATCTCATTTCAAACAAATGGCTGTCAAAATACTTTAAGCAAAGTAGCTATTGAATCAACTTAGAGAATCTAAAACAAGAACACTCTAGATATAGCTCTGTATAAAAGCACAACAAATGAAGTCAAATTACTACCCTCTCTCCCCTCCCACTAAATTATCAGGGAGAAAACTTACCAAACAAATCTGCAGAAACTTTCTCCTTTAAAAATTTAAAAGTACTTCCCCTCCCTGTTCCCCAATGAGTAAATCTATAATCAAACATCATTTGAGGGACTGCACATTTTCAATACTAAATGCAAGAAAATACAACACCACTAATCCTCATCATTTGACTAGCACTTTTATAAAGAGCCATAATGAATCAGAAAACCTAGAGGACATCTCTCTACTCACTAAGACAGTTTATTAATCCAGTCTGATAAAGAAATCAGAGGCTTACTTGGCTCATTCTTTTTCTTGGAAGACTTCTTCTTTGATGGGGCTTCATGCTTTGGCTCCTCATGGTTGATTATAACTTCTGCCTTTGGGGCACTGGTCTTTGTGCCAACAGGAGGAACGGCAACCACAGGGACCTCTTTGGGAGCAGCTTCAAGCACTGAGGACTTGGAGGAAAGGACATGCATGGAACTCACAATGGGGCTGGGTGCTGGTTCTACCTTTGCCACCTTCTTTTCCTTCTTCCTCTTTTCCTTAGGGGATGAAGCAGGCTGCCCTTGCAGGTGTGCAGGGGCACTTGCGACCACAGCTGCCACTGGTGCTACTTGCACTGCTGCTACTGACACTGCCTGCACTGCTGCTGCTGCTGCTGCTCGAGCTGCCTTTGCTGCTGCCCGACCCCCTGGGGCTGCCGACGCCCCCTGCCCCACTGGTGATGTTGGTGCCACCGGTACTGCCTGGGCTGTTGCTGTTGCTCGAGCTGCTTTTGATGTAGCCCGTCCTCCAGATGCCACTGGGCCCACCGCCCCTTGCCCTACTGGTGATGCTGGTACGGCCTGCACTGCTACCTCTGTTGCTGCTGCTGCTGCTGCTGCTGCTGCCGCCTGGGCTGCTGCTGCCCGAGCTGCCCGTGCTGCCCGCTTCCCCAGTGGTGCTGGTGCTGGTGCCCCTTGCCCCACTGGTGATGCTGGTGCAGCCTGCACTGCTGCCTCCGCTGCTGCTGCTGCTGCCGCTGCCCGAGCTGCCCGTGCTGCCCGCTTCCCCAGTGGTGCTGGTGCCCCTTGCCCCACTGGTGACGCTGGCACTACTGGTACTGCTCGCACTGCTGCCTCTGCTGCCGCCGCCTGGGCTGCCGCCGCTGCCCGAGCTGCCCGGGCTGCCCGCTTCCCCAGCGGTGCTGGTGCCTCTTCCCCTTCTGGTGACGTTGGTGGCACCAGTACTGCCTGCACCAATGTTGCCTGGGCTTCTGCTGCTCTCGCTGCCCGTGCTGCCCGCTTCCCTAAAGGTGCTGCTGCCCCTTGCTCTACTGGGGACGATGGCGCCCCTGCCACCGCTGCAGTTTTTCCTGGTGGTGCTGCTGCTCCTTTTGTTTGTGGCGGCACTGCTTTGGTCGGCTGTGTTGCTGCTGCTGCTGCTCCTCCCTTTGTTGGTTGCACTGCTGTTCCTTTAGCTGGCTGTGCTGCACCTTTTGCTGGTTGCCCTGCTGTAGCTCCTCCCTTTGTTGGTTGCACTGCTGCTGCTCCCTTTGATGGTTGCACTGCTGCTGCGCCTCCTCCCTTTGTTGGTTGCACTACTGTTCCTTTAGTTGGCTGTGCTCCTCCTTTTGTTGGTTGCACTGCTGCTGCTGCTGCTCCTTTTGTTGATGGAGGTGATGCTGCTCCTCCTTTTGCTGGTTGCACTGCTGCTGCTGCTGCTCCTTTTATTGATGGAGATGCTGCTGCTGCTCCTCCTTTTGCTGGTTGCACTGCTGCTGCTGCTGCTGCTGCTGCTCCTTTTATTGATGGAGATGCTGCTGCTGCTCCTCCTTTTGCTGGTTGCACTGCTGCTGCTGCTGCTCCTTTTGTTGATGGAGATGATGCTGCTCCTCCTTTTGTTGGTTGCCCTGCTGCTGCTGCTGCTCCTTTTGTTGGTTGCCCTGCTGCCGCTTTTGGTGGTGGTACTGCTGCTGATGTCACTCTCCTTTTGTTGATGGAGATGATGCTGCTCCTCCTTTTGTTGGTTGCCCTGCTGCTGCTGCTGCTCCTTTTGTTGGTTGCCCTGCTGCCGCTTTTGGTGGTGGTACTGCTGCTGATGTCACTGGAGATTTAGAAGGCTTGACAGGTTCTACCACAATAGGAGCCACCACCACACCTTTCTCAGGTATGGGGTCTCTGGAGATGACAGCTATATTGGGAAGCAATTCTGGTTCAGGGATTTTCCCATTGGGTTTCTCCTCCTTTTTCTTTGCCCGTCCCTTCTTCTCCACAGGTTTCTCCTTCTTTTTCTTTTCCACTTTTTGATGGTGAGTTTTTGCCATTTCCTTACGCTGATTGGCTAGGGCTTCTTCATAGGATGTCTCTTTCATGGAGAAGGTAGATACCAGGAAGATTCCAATGGCTGAAATGACCATGAATCCACCAAACACCATAACTCCCAAGGTCTGGGGGTCATAGATATCCATCACGGCTTGACTTTCTTCTACCTGTCAAACACATACACACAAAAAAGCTTAATTCAGAGATGAGACGCAAAGTTTCACCCTCCCTATTGAGTTTTCATTAGTGCCAGCTTCGGACTACTAAAAAGAGAAGTAAAGAAAACAAACGCAGAACGATGTCCACATTATTCCTCTTTATAAAATAGAGCCTGGACCCAAAACTCAGAAAATCCTTAAGGTACACTTGGAAGACACACTGCTAAAGCAAAGATGTTCAAAATACTATTCAGGATACCAACAATACCATCCATTAGCCAAGGAAGGCTAAAATTCTAAATGTCAGTTCTGGGTGTACCTTGACTTACAGTGTAGTCCTGTCTAAGGACGTTTTCTGCACAACTACTTCCTGCCATTCAAAAGTGGGTAACATACCACCTGTCCCTAAGTCAAGACAGAAACCTTTTTCAATGGAATTGCGGAAAAAATACTACCTTGCCAAAACTGAGGGTCTTGTTTCTATTACAGGGACCAAATGCATGATCTAAAAGAAATCATGTGCTACAAGAAATGACGAACAGGATGATTTCAGAAAAACCTAGAGAGACTTGCATGAACTGATGCAAAGTGAAATGGGCAGAACCAGGACTACATTGTACACAATAACAGCAATACTGTACAATGATCAACTGTGAATGACTTAGCTATTCTCAGCAATATAATGATCGAAGACAATCCCAAAGGACTCATGATGAAAAATACTATCTACCTCCAGAGAAAGAATTGATGGAGTCTAAATACAGATTGAAGCGTACGTACTAGTTTTCACTTTATTTTTTTTAATGTTTTTTTTTCTTTTGGTCTGTTTCTTTTTTCTCGATATGACTAATATGGAAATATGCTTTACATGATTGCATATATATAACCTATATCAAATTGACTATCATTTTAGAGGGAGAAAATTTGGAACTCAAATTTAAAAAAACTGAATGTCTTTACATATAATTGGGAAAATACCATTTAAATTTTTTTAATTAAAAAAAATAAATCATTTTAACTAAGGCCCCAGGTTCCTGATATATAAAATGAGGGTACTGAACCACATAAATACTAAGGCCCTTTCTGGTGCTAATATTCTGATTCTATGATTACAAAAAGTCATCACAGTAGAAGCCGTAGCAGCAGCAGCAGTAGTAGTAGATGTAGATGGCAGTTATATAGTACAATAAGGCTGGCAAAGCACTTCAAATAACAATACCCCAAGACAAGGTCTAAGCTGTGTATTTACCTGTTCCTTGAGGTAGTATGTAGAGCAGTTTCGATGGCAAGACACTAGAAACGCCAATACCATCATTTTAGCTCATAAACTGAGATAATTTCCACCAATTACATATGAGCAATTGCACTGAACTCCATGGTTCTATCCAGTACCTATCCAATTTTTCTTCAGATGACAGAATTTCATTATGATGAGTACACTGCTTATTATCATATTCCTGGTATGCAGAAGTCAGGGCACAAAACAGAAACTAAGCCTGATTTTACAGTAGTGAATTGTAAAGTAAAAGAGATGCTGAATCCATCAGAGGCATGAAGAAGATAATAAACCTAAACTTTCTACCTCCTGAGATCCTGCATTTGTGTGCTATATTCTGATGGGCTGTGGGATGGCTGTAATAATGCCTGTGCAATTTTCAACAGCCAGGACAGGAATAATATGAAGGGTAACTGCTGAAGGAAGGGCTTGACCATTCTCTACATGAAATCAGATACTTTCTTTCTAGTTTCTGCTATTCGAACAAGAACCAAAAGAACACTTCACAAATACAATGAACAGGTTTTCACCAGATCAACAAATCACTGTTTCTTAGGAACCCCAAGTACTTTTGCTATATAGACCCCTATGTTATAATGGCATTCATTGCATGGATACACTGGCTCAAAAAAAAAAATCATACATTTCTAAGCAACAGACCTAATATCCAAACTTCAACACAAAGGAATTGTCAAAATAAATATGATTTTTGGGTCAATGATTTCCAGAAGCTTTTAAATGTATATCAATACTGTATTATTTTTAGTACAACAAAATAATCCTACATTTATGCCCCCCCAACCCCATTATACACTATAAAAGCACTACTTTTCTATTAATTTCTAATAAAGACAGATGAGAGGAAGGGCTGACAGTTATTTCAAAGCCTTTGAATACATGCTTTCTAAGTCTGTTGGAGCTGCATGTTTACTCTTCTCTCTATATACTGGAACCTAACAGTCTAGAAATATCAAGCCCAAGCCTTCATCCCAACTATAATAACTGTAAATGCATTCTGGAGAGAGAAAAAGGCAGGGAGCACTCATGTTTCCAAATAAATTTGGAACTCTGTCCATGATTCTATTGACAACATGATTCCTATCAAGGGTTCCCTAGTTAATAGTAATCAAACAAGGTTGTCATAAATTAGCCTTTCTACAAATAAAACATGCAAGTTAGAAATCAGAAAATCAAACTAGTGCATTGCTCGTTCCTGGAATAAACAAATGAGCAGGCCAGAGGAAAAGATGGAGGGTGGAGGGTGGGGAATGTTTTTTGACCTTCCTGTCTGTTTTCAAAGGCTAAGTGACCCTATATCATAAGACATTCTTTAGGGTAAACTCATTTTATAAGACCTTAAAAAGGACCTCTCAAAGTGCCTTTATTTTCAGCTATCAAAAAGGAAATCACAATCCATCAATATATCAAGAGTGTGACAGAAATGAGAATTCCACTTATATTTAAAAGTCTTCCAAAGTCTTTGCCTTTATTTTCTCCAAAAGATAATAGGATCACAGAATCTGAGTTAGAAAGTACCCTTAGAAGTCATAATACCATGAATCTAGTAACAACAACATTAACAATAATAATAACAATAATTTCCTGACATTCGTATAGTGCTTTAAAGTTTGCAAACTACTTTACATATATGATCTCATGAGCCACTAATAATCAAGCCACCAGGAAAAAAACCAAACTAATTTTTTTTTCCTAATAAGCTTTGGTGGTGCACTCACATTCCTACAAAAAAGTTCCAAGAACCTGCACTGTCACCAGGTCTTTTTTTTTTTTCAGCCAAAGACAAGGTTTATTAGAACATCCCTCATACTGGGCAGACTCTTAAGGAGTCTGAGCTATTGGCTAGATTTTAAGAATCTGAGTAGTGGCTAGATTATAAGAATCTAAGCAACTTGAACCTTACATACAGAAAGACTGTGGGAGGGATCTAGGAGTGGCCAAGTAGTTTAGGGTGACTGGAGGAGGGGTCTAAGGAGGATCTGGATGGGAGTGGCCAGTAAGCTGGAGTGAACAAAACTCCTGGGACCTGGACCGTCACCAGGTCTTAAGAGTTCCAGAAGATCAAATATCAGAAAGATCAGGTCCCTTAGAGGCCATTTGGAGCAACCTCCTCATTTCACTGAGCTGGAGAAACTGAGGCCCAGAGAGTAAATACAGAGACAGAAAGAAAGTTTTAGAGGCCATCAAATCCACCTCCCTTACAGATGAGAAAAATTATGTTCCAGGAGAATTAATTGACTTGCCCATGGTCATACAGCTGTCAAATATGCAAGGTGGGATTTTAATATCGGTACTCTGTTCCAGCACTGGTGCTCTTTGCCGCAGACACACTGTGTCTATTGTACAATACTATGGAGTTCTGTTCATCTTCCCAATTTACAACGAATAAACCTGTGTAGAAAAGCAAATTTGCTTGGAAAATTGGCCTTTAATTTAATTTTATTTTAATGTAAACAAATGCGACTATAAAGATACTAAGGAGGGGTACCCTGGAAAAATAGGTTAGTACTCCTCAGGTATCAGGAAAACCTGGATTCAAAAGTTCTTCTCTGACACATGCTGACTGTGAGACCCTGGCAAATCATATTCTTTAATCTCCAAATTTCACAGACAACCAAAAACTAAAAATTTCAGTTTTTATTAAAATTTTAAAAATTTTTAAGCTAAAACTGTAAGTTGAAGGGTTTCCAGGGAATTTCCAACATAAATAGACAGGGATACTGATGCGCCACTGGTGCCCACCCCATGCTATACCCTGCCCTCTGCCCAAAGAGGGGGATTCTAAAATATATTATCTGTGGAGAAGAAATTTAGAAAGGACTGTTTTCATGCTAATTTATACTTCACAGAAACATAAATGGGTATATCTGACTTCAACATGGAGAATTACTTAAAAAGAAATATTTTCCCTACTTCTGATCCCATACTTCCCAAGGAAACTAAAAGCCCTAGTCATAAGAAATACTACACTGAAATAAGAACATCAACTTTTTTTAAAATTCTGAATGAAAAGTAACCTTTGCCGAAATCTAAATGTCAAATTATTTGGCAGATGGCTGAGCAAACTACTTATATGTGGATATAACAGGATAATGTAACACAATTAAGAAAGAAAGGTATACAAAGAAATATGCTGAAGTTTAAGAAGTAAAGCAAATGAAGAAGGCAGAACCAGAAGATAATAATAATAAAAGAAATGATATACACAAATATGGGGTGAATGGCCAAAGACAATGGAAAGGAACTTGAAAAGGAGACAGTAACTGATAAGTTGTTATACCTAACTGTATATTAAACATCAGTTTTTAAAGTAAAATGAGTTGTAAATGTGACTCCTTTTGTAATTCTTTAAAGTTAAGTTCAAAATAAAGTATTCTTCTTACTAGCTGTATGACCCTGGGCAAGTCACTTAACCCCAGCTGTCTAAAAAGAAATTTTTTTTAAATAAACTATTCTTACCAAAATTATACACAATAACTTAGTTACAAAATTGTTTCAATCTCTCCTTCTGCCCTGGACACACAGCTAAGTTCTTAAGTTAGAGTCCTGAATCATCATAAGATTAAACCTGGTTGAGCTTTGCAAACGAACACTTTCAACACATCACTATCTGTCATCATAAGTTAATGGCACAGCAGACTCCATTAGGGTTTTCCCAAGGACCTTCCCCAGGTATTAAAATAATCATAAAGGAAGGAAAGATACATATTGGAAG